GACCGCGAACTTATCCCCTTCACTTGGAATGGACCGCTAATTCTCCCCAGGTCTAGGAAGAGGTCTTTCCGAGTGAACAAGAGTGAGATAGGCTCGCTATCAACTCCCCAGAAGGTTAGGAAGCTTCAATCGGTCCCACGGATGGCGCCAGTGATGGATACCCAATATTTTCCTAGGGACTGTGGATCGGCCCAGGTCCAAATACAGGTATCCGGGCCTTATAATATTGAAAGAATAATACGAGAATAGTAAGTAATAGTAATTGGGACACTGCTCACAAAACAAGAACTAAGACCGGCGGTCCTCTCCTTTATCCGGTCCTCTCAAGAACGGAATATGCTTAAGGATCGCCGGAATATCTTTTATTATTATTCAAGTATTTTCTCTCTCTATTACAAGATGATCCTTTCTCCTCTAGTCTCCCTTTCTTTTATAGGCACTTCCCTCCATTATTCCTTTCAATAATGGCAGTGGCCAGGGGGAATGTTCCTGCCAGCCTGCATCCTCTGGGAGGAATGTATCTCCACTTGAGGCCATCCACTGGAGGACAAAGCCTTCTGTCCATCTCTTGCTCCCTGTCCTTCGTCCGTCTCTTTCTCCTCGTCCCTGTTCCTTCAAGTGAAAGGGGGGACTCCCCAAACTCCTCATAGGATTCCTCTCTTCGTGGGTAGCTCACCCTTAATGGGCTGGCTTCAGCCCATTCTTAAGCCCCACTTCTCTTCCTTTTCCTATCTTTCTTTACGGACAGCCTTCCTTTGACCGGCCCGGTATATTTTATCTGGGTCGGACACTCCTTTTGATGGACGGGGTCCCGATTGGGCTTAGGCCCAATTCGCCACATTCCTCTCGATGGGCTTGGTTCCCATCATATGTGCACTTCATGTTTTATTCTTCTACAGTTCTATGAAATTTGATTTTTAATTAGAATAATTAATGAATTGTAGTTTGATAAAAAATTAGTTTTTTTTTTAATTTTTCCTCTTTTAGAAGTTTTTATTGCTAATTGTTTCAAAATCTTCAAATGTGAGAGTTTGTAACAAGTGAAAATGGAGAGCTTGATTGACGATTTTGCATCAAAATGTGCAAGAATGTCTCCTTTTATGTAAACTTGTAGTGATTTTTTCTTCTTCAATGCAACAGATTCAATAATAATTATGAAATTTCTTTAAATTTTACTTTTATCAGATATGATAGTCAATAGAGGTCATTTTTTTTGTTTTCGCACACGGCCTGTTTCTGCTTCGGGCCAGCCCTGTTGATTATGGGGTAGAAAAAATTTAAAAAAAATGAGAATAATTAGAAGAAATTATAAGAAATTAAAGATACTAAATGAAACTGTAACTTAAAAGTTTAAATCCTAAAAAATAAAGTGCAAAGAGACTAGTTTTTCAATATTTTAAGTGTTTGGTTTTGGATGGAAGAAAAAGATGTCTTTCTTCAATTCTTCCGGAGCAATTCAGTTTGCTTTTCAGTCTTCACTAATTTACCTTCATTGTATTCAACCCCAAATTGGCAGGCATTTGAGGGAGGGAGAACCACCGTCGTTATCCCTACCCTCCTCGAAGCTGCCGCCGGCGACTTCGCCGTTCCCGCCGCCACGGGGCTCATCGTCGCCGTCTTCATCTAGCCGCTTCTAGAAGCTGAGTTATTACTCTTTTGTGATTCAACTAGGGTAAGTCGCCTATTTTGCTGGAATGGGTTTTGCACCCATTCGCTGATTTTGGTCTCTTTTTTTGACCCCTTTTTTGTGTCAAATTTTGGGTTTTGTATTGAACATCCTATTATGGAAACAAGAAGGAAAACAGTGGGGTTTGAACTCTATTGCTGAAATTCAATTCATGTGCATTAACCCTTATCAGATTTCGTTTCTTCTTTGGTCCAATTTGTGTGGGTCAAAGAAATTTTAGCATTCCAATTCATTTACAGTTTCGTTTGTAGGCCATGAGTTCAACTTTTACTGCTCCAACTGAAAAAATGTTCCTGTCAAAGCGAAGGCACAAACCTTTTCTGCACGCGTGAACATTTGTGTGCTGGATATAGGACATGAAAAAAATTGGGCTTTTGCATTAGAGTATAAAACCTTAATTGTCTTCGAACCATAGCTTTTGTTCGAGTTGATTCCTTAACGATATACCCAACTGGTTTCTAGAGAATTTTTGTTTTTTATGCTACTTTGGTTTGAAGTTTTGTCGACTGAGTTCTTTTAGTTCTTAATTTCTTCTTTGAGTTTGATTGCAATTTTCTTTCTGTTTCTCATTCTCCTGATACTGTCTGCAAGTTACTTTTCATGCATATTTTAATAAATTTGGGTTTACTCATTAATCTAAAGAGTTCAATACCTTAATTTTCTAATAAGTTTAGGTTTACTCATTAATATATAGAACTCAATACCTTAATTTCCATTTGGGGGTTGTGCATATAGTATTCAAGAAGCTAGACACTCCTTGAAGCTAATGCCACCGCCAAATGATGTTTTACAGCTATGATATTTTTGAATGCCTGAACCACTAAATTTCAAAAGTTCAAGGGCAACAAGGAATGAGGGTTTGTGTTATCTTAAATTTGTTTCTCAATTCAAAATAAATTAAATGAATATCAGATTTTCTGTTATTTTGAATTGGGACAAAGTCTGCACATTTTCTGAGCAGATAAGCCTTAAAGTTACTCCATACAAGCACAATATGTTACTAGTATATATTAGAGATCGGTATTAAGGTAATATGCATATGACTACCTACCTTAGGTTATCTCATCAAAAAAACATTTTACAAATACTTAGCTTCTTTCACCCCATCAATTGGAAACTAGCCAACCAATTTTTTTAAGCATTATGCCCATCATATCCAAGAATGGGTATATATAGAGTCAAGAATCTTCTAATTATGGTAGACATCAAACATCACCACAATTCTTTTCATTCTAATTCCACAATAGAAACAAATATAAATGGCCATTGATAAAATAATACTACTGCACGAGTCATGCACCTCTAACACATCACCCTTTAAATAAATTTCAGTTTGAATCACCATGAGTTCAAGCCCTGTGAAAGAGTCCCAAAACACACCGACAAGCTCACAAGAAGCTGAGAAGAAGCCTATCGAACCCATTCGGCTTCCAACAGTTGAGGAAGTTCGAGGCCAGGACATATGGAACAACTGCGCCATCCGCAGCGTCGCAAGTGGAATCATGGGTACGAACACTCCCTCCATGTAGTCAAGCACTTTGTATTTCTGATGTTTTTTTTGGATTGGAGTTATTGGTTTTGCTTGAACTTTGTGACAATTGTGAACCTGTGTGTAGGAGGGGGGCTAGGATTGGCCATGGGTCTGTTTTTGGGGTCACTGGACACCCATATTTTGGACGATGAAATGACAAGTAAGCAAAAAATTGTGTACCAAGCAAAGCAGATGGGTCGGAGGAGTTGGAGTTCTTGCAAGACCTTTGCTGTTATGGGTTTGATATTTTCTGCCGCAGAATGTGTGGTTGAGAAGGTGAGTGAATCACTGTTAGTGCATTAACAAGAAAATAACTTTAAGGCAGTGTTCATGTTTTCTTGAATAAATCTTCAACCTTTTTTTCTTTGAAGATAATAATAATACGGAAAATGCTATTTGTACGCCACACTTACATCAAACCTACTCCACACTCAAAATTTTAAACTACAGAGACAAGATAGTGGGTATACGGACAATGTGTAAAATGAACAATTGAACATGATTTGTCCCTGCAGTTCAAAATTTGGGATGTGGGTTTTTTCTAATCTTAGTTTTAACATTGAATTATTGTTTTCCTTCGAAAGGCCAGGGCGAAACATGACATTGCCAACACTGCAGTTGCTGGATGTGTAACTGGAGGCGCATTATCAGCCAGAGGTTATTTCTCACTCACTTTAAATACTAAGAATCTTGGAGCCTATTTTGTAAAAGGGACAATTTGCTGAGATGTGGTTGATCTGCAGTTCATTTTTTTTGGGGGGGGGGGGGGGTTGGGTGGGAAGGAATAGTGTTTGATACCCTCTATTTCAGCCAAATAATGAGTTCAAGAGCTATTCCTTTATATGTTTGCACATTTATTTTGGCATATTTTGAGTTGAGGTGCCAATCCCCACTTATCCTAACCAGTAACTCCCAAATGACTCTATTTTCAGGAGGTCCAAAGGCAGCATGCGCCGGTTGTGCTGGCTTCGCTGCATTCTCTGTTGTGATCGAGAAGTTCTTAGAAAGGATGAACTAAAGAAGCTTTCAAGGTTATAACCCAAACCAAGAAATTTTGGAATTTTATTGTCTTCCTTGCCTACAAATTTGCTGCTGATTTTGTTATTTCTTACCATGTGAGAGGGGTTTTTTTGTTGAAATGTGCCTTGAAATATATACTTTATACTCCCCCAAAATGAACTTTAGGCATTCCTTTTCCATCCTCCAAAATAGACTATACACTATCCACTTTCCCTTATTATGAAATGAATATGTAGCTCATATCATTTTCTTCTCTTCTAAATAAGCTTCAATTGCACATTTTTTATGTTTTTTAAATTCCGTGAAGTCGTCATGTTCATTTTGAGATATAGAAAGTAACTTGTAAATGTAGGTATGACAACAATTAAATCGGATTATACTTTTAAACTATGTGATTTGTGAAGTTAAATTATTAACATCTGAAATAAAATCAAAGTTTCACATTACATTGGATGAAATTATACTACGATTCCATGAACCGATTGGCTAGAACCGTGACTGAAACATTGTAGGCAGTTCGGTTCTGGTCATTGGAGTAGCGCTTCATATTCATGGTTTTGGTTCCACTTTAAAGAGGTTGAATTTTTTTAAATGTAAATTTCCTAAATAATCCTTTATTAAAAAAAAAGGCATTTCCTAGTATAGTCTTCTATTTTGAAATATTCTTTTTGTGGTCCTCTATATTTGAAATCATTCCATAGTCCGTTCTTTTAAGGAAAAGTTCTCAAATATAGGAGATCGTGAAGAGGATATGAAAAAATAGTTTGAATTAGAGGATTATATTGGAAAACACTTTGTTATAAAAGACTATTTAGAAAATTTGCTCTTTTATTAAATGCATGAGTAATTAAAATTTTGGATGCAAAATTTACTTTAAACTATTAGTGCTAAATTTATTATCGAAGAGTACAATAAATAATATGTTTATTATCCACAACTAGCATCACTCCCGTGCGATGTACGGGTCATACTTATATTACTAAATTAAGATCATTTTTAAAGGATATGAGAGTACAATTTCTTATCTAATACTCCCTCCGTCTCTGAAACATCTTCCCCTTTTCATTTTTTCTTTGTCCCACAAACTTCTTCCTTTTTCTATTAAAAAACTACCTTTACCCCTTACTTTTTCATATCCTACCTATCACATCATACTTTTTTACTAATAATCTATCTATCACATCTTAGTTTTCTCAATCACATCAAGGATATTTTTGGAAAGTCAACACCAAAATATCTCTCCCTTAATTTTCCAAAAAGTCAATAAGGTAACTTCTTTCGAGACGGAGGGAGTAGAATATAAAAATTTTATTATTTTAAGGTACAAAAGTTAATTGTTTTATAAATAACGAAAGACTTCTTTATAAACTACATTACTCGTATAATTTTTATATATCAAACTTTAAAACATTACTTATTTAAAGACTTTTCATGATTTTCTACTCCGAAAGCATGAATCTTATTTAAGAACTCAAGAGAGTGTAAGTCATTAAAAAAATTTGAAAGAAGCTAATTACGAAAAGTTATTGAGAATGACTGTATTTAAGGTATGAAAAAATTAAAGTATTTTTATATTTCCATGCATCTAATTTTTTACGGGTAAGTTATTAATTAGTGGTTGATTGTTCAACTAACATATAAAGGTATATATATTATTCAATATGTTTCCATGTATTAAAGGCACACCTCTAAAAACGATGTCTCCATAAAACGTTTGGGCCTGAATCTCTAAATGGAAACATTATTAAATTGAAAGCTTATTTGGTTAGAATTATTACACGATATAATAACTAAGTATGATAATATTATTACAGGGTATATTATTATTATTATTATTATTATTATTATTATTATTATTATTATTCTTTCACGACAATAAATTAATAATGATTAAATACATTAATATTATTGCACGGTATATTAGTATTATTATTTTTTCTACACGGTAATACATGATTTATTCTTGCTACAAAGTAATTTATGATTTAATTATTATTTCTATATTCAACACTTAACATATGTGCCACCATTCCTATG